GACCAATCAACTTCAAGGACAGTGCATATCATTATCAGAGTTGTTTCTTTTTGTTTGCATTTTGACTGCTTGTGTTGTGGTTATTGCAAACATGATGCCTTGTATAAAGGTGTCAGTTTTGTACCAGTTTAAAGGGTAAAAACCTACTACGATGACAGTTTGGTTCAGATTAAAAGTGCTGGAAATGTTTAAATGGGAGTTGTAAAAATTAACAGGGAGTTGGGATTGTGGGAAAGATGTTTTGTGTGGAAGCCAGTCACTACAGTGGGTGCATGTATCACAATCCGTTGCAAACATAACATTGATTTATCCATTGCATACATTACAGAAGAAATTCATTGAACAATCAAACCTTTAAAAACATTGATAATTTTTTTTTACCCTTTTATCTGGCAACAAAACTGACACCTTTTTTACAAGGAGTCATGTTTGCATTGACCACAATACCTGCAGTCGGAATGCAAACAAAAAACATAACTCTGATAATCTATGCACTGTCCTTGAAATTGATTGGTCCACACCCGAGACAGCTTTCTTTAGAGCCTAGTCTCACATGGTGTTGGACCAGATGACGCCAAAAGGCGCACAACTCAAGGACAATGAACCATCAGAGTATGAGAGTGCGGAATAAGCATTTACACCATGGGAACCTCGTTTGCCAGTAATAAAATATGATAATTGTTTTTTTACCCTTTTAAACATTATGTTTTTTGTTTGCATTCCAACTGTAGGTATTGTGGTCAATGCAAACATGACTCCTTGTATAAAAGGTGTCAGTTTTGTTGCCAGATAAAAGGGTAAAAAAACAATTATCATATTTTGTTACTGCAAATGAGGTTCCAATGGTGTTAAAAAACATTATCAAGAAAAAAAGCATCCTGTTACATTTGTAATTACAGGGTAAGGGTCAAGGGTGGTGTCAGTCGGGAAGCTCCGAGAACCATCCCGAGGGGTCTAGCAGGTTCTAGAAAGGGGGCGTGGCCAGAGGTGGAGCTTGGGCACGCCGAGCGAGATATAAGGAGCACCGAACCCTTGGTTCGGGGCTGTTAAGCGTGGGTTCTGGGTCCTGAGTGCATCGTTGCTCGCCGTCATCTTCGTTGTCGACTACGTGGCTCTTCGTCTGCGTCTTCGCTGCTATGCTCGTCATCCAGCCAGCATAACGCAGGACGGAGAGGGGCCGCGTGTTAGAGCAGCCTGGGTGTAGCTGCGTTACTAGGTGAATCGCCTTGTGTGCTCTTAATTAACAAGAAGCCTTCTACTAAGATGTGTGTCGGGGGTCGCTCACTACACATTTATGGTTGTAATCAGTTTGCCCTGTCTCCTGATGTCCAACCCTAAAAGCACTGACGATGCAGGTGCCATCTACCAAAGGATATCATTAATCCGGTTAATGGAGAACCATCAGGCATCTGAAATATTGTTCACAGACTCATTATCAGGTCTCATTACCTACTATATTTTTTGGCAGCTTTCAGCATTTTCGCAAGAACAATGCCTTGGCAAAATAATGTTACATGATACTGTAGATATCCAATACGTTATTTTGTTTCAAAGGCTAAAGCGACATGAAAACTATAGTTAATTTAAACACCCGTGGGGTTTTTTAAGACCGTTTTACAAAAGCCCTGCTCTGGATGCATTTGTACAATATAGGCGAAAACCAGAGTTCACCACAATAGCCACTCACGTGGGGCCAAGGGCACGTGGCTCTGCACGACACATCACAGGCATTGCCCAGTGTCTTGTGAGCATCACAGCTCCATCCCCATGTTATGGGAGAGCGTTGGCCTTGCAATTCAGTGTCAAGGGCGAGTGTTGGGCTGACAATTCAATGTTTCGGGCGAGTGTTGGGCATGCGTGCCACTGCGTGGGAAAAGTTAAAGAGGCAGGCGGGGGAGGCGGGTTAAATAGTGTACACACAGACATTAGTATAGTAAAAACGACTTGGCATCTTTTTAGTACAATAACAAAGGTGGAAATCATGCAAAAATTAATGAAATAAAAAGGAATTTTAGCGATAATTTAGGACCCTAGAACGCAACCATCTTTCCCAAAAGGTGTCGTAATTCTCCAGAAACTGTCAGGTTTTTGGTTAAAAAAAAAAACAATCGTTCAGCCTCAATACATTTGGGTAATTGAGACAAGCCCCGGACAGATGGAACAGCGTTATTCATATCGATTTAAAATATTTTTCTCGTGTAAAGTAAAAAAAAAATACATGACTTCATTTTTGTAATTTAAATCAAGTCAATCAGTTTGGATGATTGTCTTCAAATTTAAGTTCGAGTCCATAATAGAGGTTTTTTTTGGGTTATATCGCGTATACATATATATAAATGTGTCGTTAAAACCCGCCACCACTCGACACAGACAAGTAGTAAGGGTTGTTACGTAATCAGAACATGCCAATTCGTCACTAGTACAGCACACCGGTGTGTTGGAACGCCAAGACACAACACTTACAATGATGAAGCTAGTTGTATTCTTTGGGTCTTTCGGTAAAGTCACGTAGATAGGTTCAGATATTTGTTTTGTTATTTTCTTTGAACCTACGTGACTTTACCGAAAGACCCAAAGAATATTAATTCCTGCAGTCATGAAAGCTTTAAGTCAAGATTTAAACTAGTTTTAGTTACTGGCGAAACGTCGTACTCAGTTTGTAAATGTTGTGGCTTGGCTCTCCAACACACCGGTGTGCTGTACTAGTGACGAATTTGCATGTTCTGTTTACATGACAACCCTTACTAGTTGGCTGTGTCGGGTGGTGGGGGTTTTAACGACACATATTTACGCGATCTAACCCAAAAAACCTCTATTATGGATGATATTGGTCGCGAAAGCCTACGTGTTAAACTGTAAGTTCGAGTGTTATAGATGATTTCCAGTGTAATTATATTTGAAATAATGCATTTCAGCCCCGTTGAATTGCTGTTTACCTTGCCGATTGTGTTTAATCTTCAGGCTAACTATTATACATATATATCTTGCGCCCATAGTAGTAGTTTATTTAGAATTACTCTGTGAGCCAAGAAGCTCTTACATCGGGTTTCATCAACAAAAAACATCAACAAAACACCACTGGCTCAGCTTTCGATGTCAACATAGCGCAATTCAAATGTTAATTACGTTACTATTCATATGTAAATCGAGCAATATTGCATGTGTTTATTTATTGAGAACTGATATGGAAAGGTAGACTGATATGGAAATGTAGACTGATATGGAAAGGGTCACATGTTGTGCTTCAGTCAGTAAATATGGCCCTGTTATTGGGGGGGGGGGGGGGGGTGAGGATACGTAATGTCCTTATATTTAGCACAATTCTCCATTATTGCTGCTGGATGAAACGATACTACAACGGCCACCAAATTTATTAGTAACGGTTTTCATTTGCAATGGACTAATTCAAAATAGGACTGAGCAGAAAAGGACCTCATAACATGAGGCCATAGTGTGGCTTTGGGTGGGTATGAGCTGTGTCTCTGTGTCCTTCTGTGTGTATATATTTATATTTTTTTGTTCGTCTTTTTTTTACAGCTGCATATTTTTTTACTAAGTTTATTTAATTCATTTTTTTATTATCTTACCTATCGTACAATAAAGAAGTGTGTTGCTCCCCGAGCTGGAGGAACCTGGAACAAAAAAAATCACGTTCATATACTCACCAGTGAGACAGGTGCCCTGAATAAAGCTGAAAAAAATAGTAAGTGGTGAACCCTACCTCTGAACAAGGAGCAGGCTGGGCATTCGGCCGAGCATCCCAAGAATCGTCAAACGTGCCGTGGCGAGGCCTGTTCGCCACGTGGCCGGCCTGCCGTTTGTCTTGGACACCCAGCCTCGGAGACGTCTTCCTTCGGGGTTCATCTCAACGGCCAGGAGCCGCTCCCTCTAGGCTGCTCTACTCGACACTGCGCCACTTGGTGCGGTCTCCATGGAGACCGATTGGGTGGCACAATCGTGGGGACTGCTCCCCTGAGAGACAGAGGAGCAGTCCCTAAGAAGTCGATGTACTCGCCTAGTAAGATACGCAAAATGTTCATACTATTGTAGTGACATAGAATGGGTCACTACGGCACGTAGGGCAGGTGAAGAGTGCCACTGGAGCGCATAGCACTGGTTGCTGGCAGAGAAGGGGCATTTGAGGATATAGCAGCCAGTCTGCCAGTAGGGCACGTGATCGGCCGGGGTAATGGATGTAGGGTAAAGGTGACAGAGGGGACACGTAGGGCAGAGCCCAAAACCTCCTGGTAGATTCCAGAATGTGACATGGCCGAGGGAGGAGCCAGGCCACGCTGGGGAGGATAAAAGGGAGGCCCTGATACTGGGTCGGGGCTGCTGAGGTTTGGGAATGGAGCCTGTCATCTATGTAGTCTTTGTCCTCCTCGTCGGTGTTGGGTCAGGCAGTGTGCTGGCTGTTCTGACCCGTCTATAATTATCCCCTGTACTGTGTAAAGTGTAGAATAAACGTGTATGCATCCTACGACTAGTGTCTCTAAAGTAACCCACTACAATATCATTATAACTATTCTAAATTTACAGAGCCTTTTACTCTGTACAAGTGGAGATATAAGGTGGGTCAGTTGGCAATACTATATTATAATATTAATTGCTGCCCATCTATGGCCGGTGAAGATTTAGAATAAACAAATCAGCTATGATGGCATTAAATGTCGGGATTTTTACAGAAACTTTAAGACCTCTGATTTGTGGACCTACGGTTGAAAATTAGGTCTTTTGGAGGTGGCCGTGTGACTCAAGGGGTCAGAGCGCCACTCTGCCAGGACTTAAATTCCACCAGAAGGCTATCACCTTGTAGATGTTCGCGGTTCAAGCCCGTGGCCGTCCTGGTTAACGTTGTTGGCATGTTTAGCCACAATAGTGCGTGCTGTCATCGTCACAGTGGACGTTTTGGCCGATGGACAAAAAACATTTATATATTCGTACGGGGAGACAGAAAAGAGTTCCTGTTAAAAAAGAGTTTCAAATATAGAGCATGCTGCAAAGGGTTTTAATGGCAAAGGAAAGTCATACAGTTGTTTTAAATTTACATCTCCCTGCAACCATTTCATTTTTTCAATTACAGCTAAAATATATTCATAGGTATTGAACCATGTAACGTCATAAATATGAGCATTTTTATATAACAAAGTTGTTTGTGAGCATCAGCTACTCTATCTACATCAACCAATCTAATTGTATGGCATAGAGATGGTCGGCATTTGATCTCTGAGGTCACCATGCTGTCAATGTGCATCATTAACTGTTATTCAATGATGCCTTCAATTTTCTCCAACACCAGTATTTCTCCCACTCCATCCCCAGATCACAATGCAAGGCTCCACTTTGACTCGTGCATAACAATTTGTATTTGTATGGAAAAGATTTCCATGAGTGGATATATGGATTATATTTTGGCACAAACGATAGTTTGGAAAATGTAACCATTTTACCATTTTCCATTCACACTTTTTGCTTCTACATTAATCAATAGCATTGTTTGTGTAACTTAATGTAGTTGTATTCTATAACCTTTGGTTAAATACCTACTTTTAACACGCATATAAATCACTAACTCGTGCAATATCAATAATGTAGCGTTTTGCTTGTATTACTTAATGCTACAAATGTGTATACACATCAAAATTAAACGTGTTTAAAAGTGCCACATAGACATATATCTCGCGTATTATATTATCGTTTAAACCAATCATAATGTCACGGTGGCAGAAACAAAAAAACTAACATTGTATTTGAGTTGGTGGTCACATGAGACGTACACAAGTTATGAAGTGACTTGCGCCTTCCTGCTGTTTGCAAGCATCACAGATTTGCATGTTGTTTGACATAGTTTAACTTTAAATGCCCATTTTGACAGCTGATAACAAGGGGCAGGTTACAAACATCAGCACCATGGAATGGGGAATACTGTACATCTTATCCAAAATTTAATATATTTTTAAAGACCGAAACAGGATAATTTATCCACAACTCTGTCTGTCTGTCACCTGATGAGGCTGGTTGTAATTACCTGGTGAAACGTCATACTCGAATTGTAAATGTTGTGGGTTTACTCTCCAACACACCCGGTGTGCTGGACCAGTAATGGATTGGCATGTTTTGTTTAAGTGACAAACCGTACTACCACCTATGTTAGGTGGTGGGGGGTTTACCGACACATTTAAATTTACGTGACCTAAATCACAAAAAGAGGCTATGATGGATAATATTGGGCGAGAAAGCCTACGTGTTAAACTCACTATACATCGTCTGCTTGTTGCCGTATATGTATATCATCGCTCTGTCTAAAGATCAGTCGCACAATGAGCCTGATTACTTACGAAGATAAGCATCGATCTAAAATGTTATTGGCATCAGATGTGAAGATGATAGTTCCAAAGTTCAATCACTGCTTGCTCGTAAAGTCCCTGGGTGCCCTCCTCATTGGAAAGAAAATGATGGGATGATACTCTTGCAGATTACGCAATGGAACCCTTTTGGAGGATTAATGTAGGTCCGGAAAGAGGTGATTCTCAATCTGTGAAGACACAAATAAAACCGCTCATAGCTTGTAAAACAAAGTATCACCTAATTATCAATCATCATCAGCAGCAGCAGCAGTCATAATCAATCCACTGCTGGATGAAGACCTTCCCAAATCCACCAAGCACCACCTCCTCCACTCTCCTGCGAAGTTAATAATCCGAGTAGCACCTGCGCACGGACTGATGTCATTGCCCCCCCCTCCTCGGTGGACATACTCTCGGACACGCTCTATTTCCTGCTTCAATGATGACTTCATGACAAAGTGTGGGAGCGTCAGGTGCCTTGCGTCTCACCAAATCTTCTTTTGCAGCTAACCGTTAGAAAAAAAACAATGCACGGACTATTAAAAACGACATGACAGAAATGAGAAAAAATTGTGAATTCAGCTAAGAAAAAAGAAGTCACAACTGCCAATGCCATTTATATCACCACTCCTGCCATCCGTTCCTTTGTCTCATATGTATGTATATTTTTCTTCTTTTTCTTCTGCTGCTGATGACGACGATGGAGATGATGTGGGTGAGGTAGTGCTCCCAGGAACCACACAGAGTTCGAATCTCGTGTTTACGCGTGTTTGGCATGTGAGTGGAAACTAGGCTACCCAGAGAATCTTGCACATGCAAGGCGTTAGTACTCACTATCGAAACATATTCAAATAATTAACTTGCTGTACTTGTCCCTCTGCATACCTATCGGACACACAGCTTCATAGCAGATTTTTTTTCAGCAGCATTGGTTCAATATTCAGTGTCTTATCAGCAGTCAGGCTTGCTTAAATCAATGCTGGTGAACAACTGCCAGATGTTTTTAGGCAAGAAACCATCTGTTATTATGGGCCCTATTTAGACACAAAACTATATGATGCATCACACTTTATATGGCAAATATAAGAAACTAGGACCCATATCTAACAGAGTTTGTGGAGGGACAGATTTGGGAAGGAGGTTAACACTAATGATTAGCTTGTGTACTTTCTGTCATGTACTGTCTCGGCCATTTTGGTAATGTGAATGCCGAAGTCACACAAAAGTACGAAGAGGAACTGTACATGAATCAGCCGTCAAAACTATTCAAGAGCATATTTGCAGATGTGCAGACCTGTATGAAGTAAACAAAAAATTAACGCCGTAAAAACAAAGTTTTTCACTATAAATCCTTTATATGCGTGGCATCGGTTTTATTTTATTATTCATTTCTGTTTTTCTTGAGTAAGAGTTTCATTTTTTTCACATTGGTATTTTACATTAAATATGAAATTTTTTTTTCCTAAAAAGTGGAAAATTTTGGAATAAAATTTTCACGAATATAAATTGTCACACACAAAAAGTCTGTGTGCAAAATGTCAGCTCGATTGGATCACGGGAAGTGGGTTAAAAAAACGACCGAAAGATTTGCACGGTCGTAAGCGCGCAAGCAAGCAAGCAAGTGAACTTAATATAAAGGATTTAAAAATAAACAATTGTGCCGTTACATTTCCTAGAAGGCTGCAAGTATTGTTGCCCCATGAGATCTAAGTAGGCTTTTCATATTAAAGTGTTTTTTCTTCCACTGGCTTTAGAAGATTGTACAAACTTTATAAATATTAAATGTTTTCCCTCAAAACAAGATATAAAGTAATTTTGTTTACGCAAATGTGTTTTTACTATGTATGACATAAGCAGACGTATTCTGTGGTATCGTATGCTCACTCTCTCGGTGATATGTAAGTACTTTATTATTAGTCTGAATATATGCGAACATACCAAATAAAATTAATAGCAACAATATGTATTTCTAAAGTGTCAAAAAGAGGAGCATATCAATATGGTGTACCAAAACTGCACACCATCTTAATAATTGCAACCCCAAGTGAATAATAATGAATGGACTGCAAAAGGTAATTTAACTCACTCCACTGCTGGCAAAAGGGCCTCAAATAGAGGAATTTCTTTAGAAAGCCACTCGAGTGGATTTGTGGCCTCTTCTTCTACAGTCGTCAGACGTCTTGTGGGGAGTGCCCCCACACTCTACCCCACCAAGTGTGACCTGCCGATCGACTCTCTGTGGTTGTACCCCCCCCTCTATGCTGCTAGGCCAGGGGTCGGCAACCTGCAGGTCTGCATCTGCACGCGGCTCTTAAATGACTGCTTCGTGACGTCATTTATTAATGATGCACGTACATTGCGGCTCTTGAAATATAGACTTTTTTTTAACTGAATTTGAAAACAAAATTACACTCCTTGTTATTTTGGCTGCCGACCCCTGTGCTGGGTGGACAGAGGGGGGAGGAGGTCCTACAGACGACCTCTGGATTGCAAGGAGCAGCGTGATAACCATTATAACTGCGGCTTAATTTCGGATGCCCTGTAAGGCGTATTAAGTGTCTGAAGCAACAAGCAGATGCAAAGGAGGCGTTAGTATTCTTGTTTATGGAGATGGCTAGCAAGCATTGTGGAAAGTATTCTTTGATAAAGTTACCGGTTAACAGCAGAGAACAGAAAAGTCGTGGGTATGGGCTTAAAGAGTGGCTAGGGAATTGACCGGACAGACTATTAGCGGAGGAGGGGAGGTGGAATGCCAAACCCTCCGGGGCAGCAAAGGAGCAGAGGAGCAGTGTAGATGTTAATTTATAGCTTCCCCACATATGGCCTAAGCGGCGGCAGCAAAGTGAACGACAGGGTAGAGTGAGATGAGAGGGAAGACGTGGACTGTGAGAAAGGCAGCGTAACCCTTTCCCATTCCGATGATATGCGTCAAAAGTCATGATGTAAACGTCATCAGTTTTTTCTCACGATTCTGTTCTGATGACGTACGGAAGTCATCGGAACCGAATCGGAAAAGGCCATGTGGGAGGGCGTGGCGCAATTTGGCGCCAGCTATCATCGAGTGTCAATCATGTCACGACAGTTCTTTACGGTGAGCGCAATGTCTTTAAAAACAGCGGCACTGTGCCTCTCTAAATACAATTTACGCTAACCTCTTGCATGTTCCGAGATTCAGCAGTGACACCCACCTTGCAACTTGCAGACATCTTGGAACGGAAAAGTTTAAGATCTTAAAAGCAACGTGTAATTGAATCGGACCCGCAGAAGTGTTGGCATCATCTTCCTTCACTATATTTGTATGCTGCAAGAGTAAGTTGTGTGGCTTTAATACCCACGCAATACAATTTAAATGTCACGTAACTTTGGATGTTTTATTTAACAATTGTAAAAAAGACATATATAATAGCTCAGAACTCCGGAAAGAGAATGTAAATCCTACAAAATTTCCAATTAAACCCAAACGTACAACCACTCTCAGATCAATAAAAAAGATCAATTAGAATCGATAACAAATGATTCAAAATCAAGGTGTGATTTAGCCTGGACCTCGGAACGGGGAGGTTTCTCGTTCACAATATTGACCGATTGCATATCGTCCTACCTTAAATTACAATTTAAAATTCCGTAAGTGTTTGCTTTGGAAAATTAAGATGCATGGTGGACAATAGGCTGCCAGCACCAGTAAATTGACATGACATCATTTTGCTGCATCAGCCTTTGTTTTAATGGTTTGAAAACTGCCTCACGTTCAACTTTAAATGCAAATCCCTTAACATTTTCAGCCAATGCGTCTGTCCCACTTAGCCTCAAATGAGTACCTGGTGTGGTGGACAAACATCACCACTGGGGAGACAAAGGCAGGCCCGGGGGTGGTGTTGTTCACCCACCCCCTCGTGTGACGTGCCGGCCTTCATAGGTGCTCGCTAACAACACTTGCCCCAACAGTCTGTCCAGGCTTTCCGGGAGGTCTTTGTCTTTTGATGTGTTTATAAAGCTGTGCGTTTGTGTTTGCGTTTGTCTTTTGTTGAAATCGAAAGTCAAAGTTAGGAGCGGTGATACAGTTTTTGTATGTCCTGTATGTTGAACTTATTTCTCACTGTACGTAGCCCAACCGTGCTAATCGGAGGTGCAGTGATTAGCAGAATGTGCGACGAACCAGCAATTTGAGTTTGAATCTGTCCCGGGCTGTTCACTCGTGCACCCTGCTTCGCATTGTAAGTTGCTTAATAACTACACTTTCCCAGCATCCTAAAAAGTCTATACACGGGGAATCTTTGCCTCTGTATTTGAATATGCACTGGACTTTGACGAGGTTGACTCAGCCTTAAATGAGTGCCCTGTGAAAGCATCAGCACTCGGGATAAAAAGGTGGTTGGGTAAATGCTCTCGGCTGCTTTAGTAAGTGCCCTAACAGCTGATGAGGCTAAACAAAACAATAATTGGCATCATTATGCAGTGTATACATCACAATATAGACGAGTAAACAATACGTTTGAACCGTCTGTCTGTGCGCTTCCGATGGGTTTCTTAAGAAACAATTCAATATATGTGGAGACACAGATACGCGAAGAAGATTATTACGAGACTAAACGGAGCATCTGTGTCTTTGTGTGGATGCTCGTGTGTGTATGTGTGTGAGGGCTTCAGGCATATCCCGTGGCCTGTTTATACCGTAATGCGAATGGATTGTTTTCTTCCTGAGCGCTCCGATTTCTTATTAAGGGCAACAACTAAACACAAAGTCAAGCATCCGAAAACAAGATGTCCGTGACACATTTTAAGACTTTTTCAGACTGTTTTAAGAGTACGTTCATAAATATTCTAATTCCGTGAGTTACCAAAGATTAAACTATTGACCTCATACATTCTTACTCGGTGGCAAGCATTCAAATTGCTCTGCCACCAGCTTCCTACTTACACTCAGACAGTTGGAGACAGTTGGAAGAAAATCAAGAACACCGCGATCATATCTGGGTGCAAGTTGACACTTTCTTTTTTACACACGTTCGTTTATTATAGAACCATGTTGAACAAAAAGCGTTGTACTTGAACCCGTAATACATCCTGACCCTGTCTCTAAATGTTACTGGTGTGTTTTCTACATCAGCCAAATTGTTATTGACTAGTCCCTGTATTTTGCTATCATTAACAGACATAAGCATTCTCAAGTTCCACTCACCACGGATATTTTTTTATTTTCTCAAAGGGACAAAAATAAAATGCCCAATGAGGAGTTCTGTGAAAGTAATCAAGCCTTGCCTGTGTAGTATAATAGCGCCGGCTGGTGGACAGCAGCGGCAACTGTCGTGGACAGACAGTACACACGCCGGTGAGCGTGTGCACAGGTGTGTTGGCAAAGCAGAGAAACTAGGGCAAGGGTCATGGAGGACCCCATCTGGAGGCCCCTGGAAGCTGCTAGTAGGTTCGAGAAGGAATGCGTGGTCAGTGTTATGCCAGGCCGTATTGGTAGGATAAAAGGAGCCGAGAGCTCGAGGCTGCCGGTTTTGGGAGTGGACTCGTTTCGTCGTTGCTGTCGTCTCGTCGCCGTCGTCGCTACCGTCTTCGCTAGATATTGTGCTACAGGATAGTTGTTGGCTGCCTCAGTCAGCGCCGTCAGTATTAGGCGGCTATTGTTGTGTGCAGGCTCGGCTAAGCAACTGCAGAGAGTGTGTGGACGAGACCGTGAATGTTATAATAAAGAAGGTGCCTCCTATAAACCTTGTCACCAAATCACTGACACTACACATGTGTTACATTTAATATCCTCATCGCCACATTACTATGTATTCTTCACACTCTATGTATGAATCCAATGTGGTTCCATAATTTTAATGCAATGACAAAAGTGTTTTTATTCATTAAATATATTCATGAAATTAAACGACCTTCTTTGCACCACGTAGAAATTTAATATAATTCTTATGATGCAAACATCATTGACAGATTTCCTATTTGAATGCACAATACGATATATTTCATATTGCTTGAAACTTGAGTCTCAAGTGGCATTGGCTCATTTCCCTAACATGGGCATCATTCACTTACCCTCCCTCCTTTTTATTTCCATGTTATATCCTTGGCATTCTGTGCATCTAAATCATTGTATTGTGTGAGTCTTTGCCACATGAGAACCATAGTATATAAGCACTAAGTACAGTGGCTCCTTAGCATGCAATTAAAAGGCAATTATTTAAAGGTACAATTCATCATCATGATTATCTTAATTACCATGGATGTGAAATCCATTTAATTCCAACATCTGCCTTGCATCATGGCCAAAGCAAAGCGATGTGAAATGTAAATCAACGTGACATGTTTAGTCTCGACACAACATGTTAATATTGGATCTGATTGCTGAATGTGGTTGTGATAATTGTCGAAACAACAATCGTTTGACGCGTTAAACACGTGTGCATGGGACAATTTGTTTTGTTGGCAGTGTTCGGTGGTGGAGGATATTAACAACACAAAGTTGGCAGCATCATTCGGGTGGCCTAATCCGAACATACATACTGTAATCGATAAGAAAGGCTGCGTTACTGTCGTGAAATGTCGCAGTCATTTTAACTAGCACCGTACACACTATGCCACAGTTTTATAATTCACAGTGGCTTTGTAAGTATTATTATTCCTTGGAGCAAATATATAAATAAAATGTGTCATTGTGGTACCTTCTTCAGCAGGGGCAAGAGCAGTCGTGGTGTTGGTGACTTGGATCGGAATACAGCTCCGACGGACGATGCTCAAGACTTCTCGGGCATAAAGCCCTGGGTGGCTGCTTATCTTTTTCATACTCTATTGGGAGAAAGAACGAGAGGATTAACTTGTTTACAAGCAGAACTCCGTTCTGTACTTCTGCATACAAAAAAACTATGTTTTAGCCTATACGCCTTTCCAGACCAATATTATCTGGCAGCATTTGCTTACAGCGAGAAAACTCTAGACTGGTTTTTGACCTTCACAGATGTCCTCCTAGACGTCTATGAAAAAGAGCTTCATAGCTCATCGGATTCTTCCTGCAGTCTAGATAAAGATTCAGATAAAGATAAAAGATTCGGAATCTGACCTTTTGGATCTCATCAGCAGTGTCAGGTGTGTGAAACTAATGCTTCTGCTGTGTGTCTAGACAATCGACTTGGTCAGCATCCACCAACATAAGCACTCACTGGATTGGCCTACTTGTTTGGCTTAGCAACTGATGGATGCAACACCAAAATAAAAAAGAACAAAGATTCATTTGGATCTGCAGTACATATGGTAGTTGAGAGGAAGTACTTACGAAGACTGGGAAGCAGCACACCTTTGTATTATACTCAGTTCACATTTTCTTCCGAGGTCTAATGTTTACACATTGCACAAAGTGTGTATTTATGGCTGAGTTGACCAGGTCAAGTTTAAATTCAAATACCACTGATATTCTCCATGGCCAGGAATTGAACCTTGATTATTATAATTGTTTGTTATATTAATACTTTTTCTTACTCGCTAAACTAGGCAGGTGGCACAGCTGTAGAGCGAGCGGCTCACAATCAGAAGGCTGCAAGTTCAAAATCTGGCTTGCGGTTAATTATGCCGAGAATTACCCCTGCCCTAGGAATGTGGAATTTCCACCTCCAACGTAGTGCTGTAAACAGGAAATCAGCACAGCTTCTAAACCAGAGTACCGAGAGAAAACCCACCGTGCATATGTGGGATAAGACTTATATCTATGCACAGATTCAAGATATCCATTGATCGACTGCCAACTTACGACAACCCTACAGCCGCCCACACCCCAAGCATTTGACTATAGAGTGCTTTATACCCACACACTAGAGGATGACACTAAGCACATACATCGTGGCAATGTCACTGGGTGATATCACGGTCCAACATTTAAATCACCAGTAAATTAATTGCATCTATGTTACAAAGTAATAATTGCTATCCACATTCAACTCTGAATATCTCACATTTCTGTCCACGACACAGCAATACAATGGTTATTTTAAATACATTAATGCCATAATGTACAACGGCACTGTATTACAATGTCAAAAAAACATCAGCAGAGACCAAACTTAAAATTGTTGCTCCATTGAAAAAATATATATATGTCGGCCAACAGGAGAATGTTGTAAACACCAGAAGCATGGCATCCTAATCTCTAATTATATTTTTTATTTTGTGTCCTTTTATCTGAATAATGCACGTTGCATTTGCATGTAGTCTGTGCTCCGATGAGCACTGGCGAGCCAATATTTGCATCAATAATATTCCCACATCGATAAAGGTGACATTTAAACGCGACCTCCACAGTGCACGGCAGAGCATGCAACATTTGTTCAAGAGGACAGATATCAATATTGAGAAATTCACATGGGACACCCAGCGATGTGACAGCAGTGCTGATCCACTGTGCTGTCGTACCTTATCTTAATGGGCAAAACATGTGTTGTTATAGTTGCTCTTCTTGGCCAAACGAACCAACAGTATGTTGCAATGGCAACACCTATGATAGCGATACGGAATGCATGTGCCCTTGCTCACAGCATCGTGCAATAACAGGCACGATAAGAAGACGGACTTTGAAGTATATTTTTCCCCAATTTAAACAAAGTATTGTGACAGTAAAAAAACAATACATCATCGTTCACCCATGATCTATCCACTGCCGAATGAAGTCCTCCCAAGACGTCGCAATCTCTCACGGTCCTGCGATGTAACGATCCGTCCAGCACCTGCACAGGACCTGATTTAATCGCTCCCTCTCAGCAGTGAATGTGCTCTTGGGCCCACTTGAGTCCCTATGTGATAACCAGATATTTATAAGTGCACCTTGTTGTCCATTACTTGTATTTTGCCCGTATTAAACTTTAACCCAACTTTGCAGATGTCTTAATTAAGTTCACTTATTATTTCCTGCTGTTCATGACCATTGATTGGATGTTATGACTTTCTCATCAGCAAGTCTGAGATGGTTTAATCCTTATTCTATCTGTGCCTATGTATTTATTTTTCCAATCAATTTTCTGACTATATTCTTACATGTCGTTTTAATTCTAGATTTGAAGCTTTCGTGACTGCAAGGATTCATACTCTTAGTTTTTTCGGTAAAGTCACATAGGTAAAAAATGAAATAAAAATTAAAATAAAATAATAATAAATCACGACGTTTCGGAGGCAACACAAGTCTCCGCACTCAGGTGGGACCGTCACAGCCAGATTTTCTGTATCAAGTGAGGCAGGGATTCCAAGATGCAAGTTCTTAAATACAAGTTAAGGGGGAGGTGGGGGAGCTTATCAGAATGTGGTAGCCAATGAACGAGTTGTAAGTAGACGTCGGACGTGGACGTGTTTGTGCGCAAGCCCCTGTTGGTGCACATGATAACGTATTGGAGGGGGGGGGGGCTAAAAGAGAGGACGAGGAGTACGTGTACGTGGACCTGTTTGTGCACAAGCACCTATTGGTGCACATGATAGAAGAGAACGAAAATGCCCATGTTGTTTTTTACCAGTGTTGGCTGACAATCAAATACGAAAAGGAGAGTACTGTTAAACGCTGGGGATGTTAACACCCGGTAAAGTAAAATAGTGCCTGTCAGATAAGATGGTCCAAAAATGTGTAGTTAAATATTTTTTGCATGGTTAATAACATCTTTCCAATGATTACTAAGTTTGTACCCATCATCACGTTTGAAATTATGTCTGTGTTTATATATCTGAATGGCTTCGTGTACAAACCTTTGATGGTAGCCAGAGGGTTTTCAGAGCACCTTAGTCTCGGAAAAAACAATATCATGAGAGCCCACCGCATTGTAGCAATGATCGGCAACGGCGGAAGACTCAATTTTGCCGTGTTTCAAATCTGACTGATCGTGTCCGTATTTAAGAACTTGCATCTTGGAATACCTGCCTCACTTGATACAGCAAATCTGGCTGTGACGGTCCCACCTAATGACAGAGACTTGTGTTGCCTCCGAAACGTCGTGATTTATTATTATTTTATTTGTATTAATGTAAATTTCATTTTTTACCTACGTGACTTTACTGAAAAAACTGACTCCCTAATATTTATGTTACTTAATACAATCTCAGTGTAATTGTTACATTATTGTAACATATATATAATGCATTTGTATTACCTTCATGCCTAGCGTTTATTTGCTGTTTAAAGGCAATTAGCTATGTGTAATTTGATGCACTATACACTGACAGTGCTTATGCATATTTGTAGATAATAATATTGCATCAATATCATCGTCATCACCATCATAATCATATTTCACATCCATAGCATAACTTTATACCCGACACATTTTCAGAACGCACAAGAAAGAAGACAAAAGAGATTTATGCCATCACACAAACAGCCAAACTGTATAGAAATAATTTTGTTTTAATTGAGCATGAATCGACTGGATTTGACAGTTCAATTCCTACAGCCATCTGCTAATTTCCGCAGGGAATTACTTCGCAAGCCATCTAGTTTAAAGTGGGCATTAAAGACAAGAGTAGGTCATTATGTGCCAACGACGACTCAAATGTTACATTTTGTACTTGTTCACAATTGACGCGACAAAAGTTTGAGTACCAGTTCTCCCGTAAAAAAAATTTCAATAACGGATCTCAATTGCATCTCTCCTGGTTAAATAAAAGAGTATGTTGAATTCAGAAGACGTCCCAAATGTGCAATATGTGTTAACTGCTGACCCTGTCTCCACCGTCCTTGAGCAACGCAAACAGGATCACGCGAAGAATAACGATTTACAAATTTTAACACGGGCCGACGCTACACGGCTCATTCCGAGTTGCCTGAATGTTAATCAATTTGATGCTACAGTGGAAAGGTCAACTGTCATTAAGAGCTGTTGATTATCTTGGCTCATCATACAATACCTCTAACCACTGATTACTCCAACTAATGAAAAGCAATCTGCAGTTGATATAGGTTCCCACGAGACAAAGCTCTGGCATTTGAATTAGAGGCTCTGGGACATGGCTACGGTGTGTGCATGCATGATTACAACTATCTCGAGCTGGCTACTCCAGTGAATTTGAAATGAGCGGGTGCCACGGTGGCGAGATGTTAACTTCCTAGCCCAGGTATGCAGGAGAGCTGTAGGTTCAATCGCGACCCTGATGCCGGCTGTATATTTCGGAGTTTGTATGTTCCCTCCGTGGTCGTGTGGATTTTTCTACGAGTCCTCAGGTTTATCCCTAATTTAGAATCAACATGCGTTTAGAGTATTTGGCTGCTATAAATGTTCCAAGTGATAAGCCACTTCATTGAGATATCATTTGTGGCCAGGTCGCTTCTGAAAAAAGAGCTATGTAGCTCAGTGGGCCTTTCATGGTAAAATAAAAACAGTTCATAGTATAAATAGCTGCAATGCAGAAAAAAACTTTATTTTAGGGGTTGCTGCAAAACGGAGGGGTACATTTTCCCACGATTGTTAACTGTTGATTTGAATGTTCCATAGAAGAATATTGCGCATGTCATTAGTACAATGCTGTAATTCTTTGTAAAATATATTTCTGAATTACTGTATATGGTTAGACATAAATCAACCGTTCTCACAATGTACTGAGGAAATTGTATCAGACTACATGGGAAGAACATGTTTTCCGGCTGGATAATCTGTGTGGATTCCTGAACAATGGCCTCCCTCAAGGCTCGGTACGAGTGTCAAGGAGGTCGATACGAGGGAGGGACGGCCACGTCCAAAAAACATGCAGGCTGCACATTTGTAATGTTTTTTTTGCATCATTAACAAATGCGTATAAATACATACACAAAGGAAGCACATATTCATAGACGAATGAGGGAAAGTGCTGTTAGTGAGCACCTATCAAGGCCAACACAACTAACGAATATGCAGGCCTGATCACTTTTATCGACCCCAGTGCTGTTGACTATATTATGCCAGACTCAAATTTAAGGGCGCGTTATCCTCAGGGAGACCAAAGCAACAACAACAGAGGGAGTAAGGGAGCAAAGGAAGTGGTAGACAGGATTGCAATTATGGCGAAGGTTTACCCCCGAGGTACTAGCTGGCAAGACCATAGCAAAACTCAGAAGAGGTGGCTTTCTTGGCACGAATTCACCATTAGAAGGGAATGCATGGTCCATGCGGTAATGAAACCCCACTACACTGTGGAAGACAATGCCACTGTATGCGTATTTGTTATTGCCAATTTAACCACCTACGATAAGCAACATGCCATCACCATGTATACACAAACATGACTCGAAAAGTATATTTTTTTTATTGCAAGAGATGGTCATTTATTATTTAGGCAATTTTTGTTGTTGTATGCGTGTACGGTTAAGGTAACGCTCAGAGTCAGGGTCAGGGTTCATGTTCCAGTTACTGAACTCGATCAATAAACATCAAATCACGGGGAAGGAAAAGTTTATCTGGATATACCGGTAAAATATTGCGAGTTACGGGAAAGTATAATTACGGGAAAATATAGAATTGGTGTAAACGTTTGAAACTATTTGCGTGATTTATTTTAATTGTAAAAAAATATTCACCTAGGGATAATCCCTTACACATATTGGACAATTTCGTTTGTAAGTGTCCAGGGTGTCCAGTGAAATATTAAACATGTAAACATCGTAAAGACAACTACTTATCACGTACAATTTATACAATGTCAAGAACATTTACACAGAGTCAAGAACATAAAAAAGGACATCACACGACTGTCAAACTCATAAATAAGTGGTGCACACTGCCAGTTTATAAGGAATGTGCTCTAGGCGTAAATATTAACTTCATTGGTAATTGGTATTTAAGTGCAAAGAACATACCTGTACATGTTATTCATCAATTAAAGTTAATTCTTATGCTCACAATACATGCATAGATGAGTGAGAAACGACAATTTATACAAATCCCTAGGGGATGGATCAGTGACACCGGTGTTCAGCACATTGCACTATAAACCTAACTACCTAAGTTCGATTCCCAGCCACAGCTAACATCAGTAGTGACGCGTTTTGTCTTTCTTTGGAATTTTAACACTTACATTCTAACTTAGCAATCTTTGAAATACGTAATCGACCAGGCTATGCGTTAATTGTGTGTTGACCGACTCTCTGTGTCATTTTACATAACATTTCGATACTTTGCTAGGTTATTTAATTTAGTGTGTTCTGTCTCCCTCTAAGCCTGCTTACTTTACTACGCCTCCCTTCGTACTCATTGACATGTCAATTTTTTCCCTACCCCCTCCCTCTCTCTGCCTCCGCCCCCCTCTGTCTATTTAAGGCCACCCCACAGAGACGATCACCCCTCTCTGTACCTGAGTTGCTCTCTCTATGTATCTTGGTGATATCTGTCTGCTTACATGTCTGTCTATAGTTTTCTGGTTAGATTCTATGTCGCTATTTCATTATACCTGATGATGATTGCTTGTGTTGCAATCGAAACGTCGTATGCTATTATTTAATTTATTATTTTATCTTTATACGTGACTTTACCAGAAAAAACCAAAGAATAATTCCTGCAGTCACGAAAGCTCCAAAATTCAGATTATCATAATTGGTGACTTCAATGTTCATGTTGATACACCATCCAAACCTCATGTCAGGGACGTTTTGGCCATCCTTGACCCTTTTGGTTTCATCCTGCATGTCAAACAGGCAACACAGTCTGGTGGACATACTTTAGATTTGGTTTGTTCTCTTTGGCTTTCACTATCTGCATTGACTGTGATTGTTCCAGGAATCTCAGGCAACTCTTTGGTCCTCTTTGATATATTCCTGCCCCCTCCTGGTCCTTCTATTATCCATCGAATTTAATTTCTCTAAATTGCGTCTATCTCCCCAGCCTCTCTCACAGACACCGTATCGAGTTCCCCACTGGCTAATGAGTGCGAGCTTCCCGTTGAAGGAGCTGCTCGATTATATAACTCTGTTCTGTCAGAGATCCTGGATCATTTGGCTCTCCTCCAAACCCGTCGGATATCTTCACATCACCCTTCGCCATGGTGCACTGAAACATTGAGGGTGCAAAATACTACCGTCTGTAAAACAGAACGTGCTTGTTCGAGGGCACATTGTTGACCTGTGTTTCCCGCCAATTCAACTGCAGAACTTCATATTTTTGCTTGCTGTCTCTCGACCTACCAGCTGTTCACTGGATACCTTCCCTTCAAGGCTGTTATGCGACAATTCTGTTATGCTTAGGCCGTATACCCTCAGTCTTTTCAATCGGTCCCTCAAAACCGGCACCATTCCTGACAGTTTTAAGATGGATGCTGTGACCCCAGTTTTAAAAAAATCCGGGTCTTGATGCCAAGCTTCTGGAAACTTTCAGCCAAATATCCAACCTTCCGTATTTGTATAAAATTCTGGAACGAGCTGTGGTAACTCATTTACATCAGCACCTGGCTTCAAACAATCTATTTGACAACTTTCAATCGGGGTTCAGGCCTGTGCATAACACCGAGACTGCTCTGGTAAGGGTGGTCAATTATTTACTTTTGTCAGCAGATAAAGGCTTTGTCAGCCTCCCCATTCTGCTACATCTCCATTGATCACGGGGTTCTCCTTAAGCGATTAGAAGTTTCAATGGGGATCTTTGGCAGAGCTTTGTTGTGGTTCTACTCTAACTTAAAGAAATGTAGGTACTTTGTCACAAAGGATGGCTTCAAGTCACCAATTAGACCAGTTCTCTGCGGTGTTCCGCAGGGATCTGTCGTTGGCCCATCACTTATTAGTATCTACATGGCACCATTGGATATTCTGCTCCGACATATTGGCTTATCCTACCATTGCTATGCAGATGACGCTCAAATTTATATCCAGTTAGAACCCGTCTATGCAACACCTTCTTCTGCGCTATCTGCATCACTAACAGTAGTGAATTCATGGTTGCGCCAAAACGTTTTGCTATTAAATGGCAACAAGCCTGACGCCATATTCATTGGCTCCCTTCTGCCTTTTTCTAAAATTGGTTCGCCTCGTTTGTTGATTGATGGTCACGATGTCAGTCCCACGTGGGAGCTCAAAAACCTTGGTGTTCAGTGTGACCAGTCATTATCCTTTGAGGCACATATATCTAAGGTGGTTACAATTTCCCTTTTTCACTTACGAAATATTACCAGAATGCATCGATTCCTGTCACCTGCTGACTTGGAGAGACTTGTCCATGCTTTTGTGTTATCCAGACTCGACTACTGCAATGCATTATCGATTGGAATTCTGAGCAAAGTACTGGGCAGACTCCAGCTTGTTTAAAATGCAGCTGCTAGAGTGCTTCAACTTACACCAATCCGTGAGCACATTACACCAGCCCTCTTATCTCTTGATTGACTATGAGTCAAATTTCGAGTGGATTTTAAGATACTGCTATCAACCTATAAGGCTTTAAGAAGGGCTCACCCCACATTACTTGTAGGAACTAATATATTTATATATTCCATCAAGGTCCTTAAGATCATCTGATCTCCAATTGCTCAGCACTCCCAGGTATAGGTTGCACTCTTTTGGTGATCAGGCTTTTGTAACTATGGCATTCAAGCTATGGAACGCTCTGCCACTTGAAATCAGGAAATCAGGAGTCGGTAGATATATTTAAGTCTGCTTTGAAAACCCATCTCTTTAAAGTGGCCTTCCCTATTTAGTTTGGTCGGTTGCCCTGGTTCTGTTTTTGTTTCTTGCTTTTCATGCATTGTGTATTGGAATCCTAGAATAAAATGCACATGATAAATTTTAATTATTATTAATAGCGATAAAAGGGTGATAAGGAGGTGACTGACCAACAGTGAGCAAGTAACTGGAATAAGTTAGCGAGTGGTAGATCAGCAATCTAAACGAAACATCTTATTTTATTCTACCAGGTAAGGCCCACTAAGCTATAAGGCTATTTCTTTAAGAAGCTACTTTGCCACAAATAATAGCTCAAACGAAGTGGCTTATCACGTGGAAATCTATTGCAGCCAAATACTCTAAATGCATGTTTCTAAATATGGAGGGAAAATCGGAGGACCCAGAGAAATATCCACAAGACCACAGGGAGAACATTCAAACTCCAAATATACAGCAGGCATTAGGATTGAACCCACGACCTCCTGTATACCAGGGGAACATCTCGCCACCCTCGCACCCAAAACCTGAGCATTGGATCAGATGTATGAGATTGCGCAGAGAAACGGTGACAGTGGCAAGGTTGTACTTACGCGGGACGTCAGCGTCACATCCTTGAGTGCGTATATCTTGTTGGTGATGTCTCTTCCAATGAGGCTGGCAAAGACCACTTCCAGAAATGGGATCGTCTTCAGGAAGTACATCAGACGCTCTTGTGACCAGGACACAAGCTGGCAGTCGTCCATTGCCGATATCGATACCTGGTGGTAACATCACACCCCGCTCCTTCGCTCACTCACTCAGTCACTTAAGGGATCCCCAGTGGGGCAGACCAATCTGTTTACGGTAGTAGAGGCCATGTTTGATTCATGTAACATTAATAGGGGAGAGCAGTGCTGCAATGGTTAGTGGACCATGCGATGAATGTGGCGGCCTGAATTTGATTCCAGGCCACGGCTAATGCCAATGGTGAGTGATATCTGAACCCATCCTGGGACACTCCTCCCCCCTTCACGAATGCGTCCTGATCAGCGTGGTGAAGTATGATCAAACAACCCCCTATGACGCGACTTGGCATGTGGGGGCCCTCATTCAGCAGTGGATTGACAAAAGGATGCACATGAACGGGCAATTAAACAGATCAGGTAATAAGGAACTGCCACTGGGGGTGCTCTTTCAAATGTGTTGAGAAGTGATGTAAACTCTTTGGTTCTTTTGGTAAAAGTGATGTAAAGCTATACGTGGTGAGTCTATGGGTCTCTAACTGGTCAGTCTATGGCTCTCTGAGTAGTGAGTCTATGGATCTCTGTGTGGTGAGTCTATCGCAATGAGATGTCCCAGCATATCAAACACCAATCATTATTCAACAATTAGTTGGTTATAAAGCATTAGCAGTGGTGCGCAAAAACAAATATAAAAAAGGCAATGCATTTCTTAATAACACTGACTTAAGAGTTGAAATAGATTCGTCTATTACATATATATTGCCAAACGATAGGCAATGCTATTCAATATGCAGCTGCGTTTTTAAGATACCGTAGTTATTTACATGTTTATACCGCATTTGCTTCATGTTTTATCACTTGACCCTTCTGTGTAAACTACTTTGTCATTTGTGATGAACAAAAACTCATTAAAAAGTTCCTATTTTGGTGATACATGGGCCTGTCAAGATCTATGAGCATAACCACTCTGCATTAAAATAAAAAAATAGACTTTTGGAAACCATATCCTCACAGACAGGTACCATAATCTGAAGTCGATGCAGAATGCGTAAAACATATCACTGAATAAATGAGAAACTCAACCTGCAATTGTTATCAAACATAAACAATGCAACTTTTTTACGTCCATTCTTCAGTCACGGACATAAAATTATCACATCCATCTGCTAATTAAGTGAGAATGACTATTATATACAATTCTGTGTTTCTACCCACTGCTACACATCACGAGTTTGCGTACAATATAACTTTTTTGCATTGAATGATGTCACATGTAATGTTTTATGGAGTAGTATAGCTTATAGTCATCTGGTAATATATAAGCATTTGTTTAACAAGCCTGATTCTTCTTATGAGACCAAGGAGGTCAAAACCAATGCAGAATTTAAGGGCTTAAACAAATGCTACTTAATAATGTTGGTCTGGAAAGCCGGTAGGCTGATGGACTAGAATAGATTTATATATATAATGTGGAGAGACTGAAGGGAATTCTGCTTAAGCTTGCTTTTGCTTTTGATATTCCACAACATAATCACTTTCTGTGCAGTTAGTCAGTTCCATTAAATACGAAGCAGGCGCCGTTGCTTGAAAGAGCTGCTGTTCTATTTTATGATAATCTAAATCTTTATGCTGGAGAAATCCGATGAGCCATGAAGCTCTTTTTCACAGATTTTATGCTGCATCACATAACTTGTTGATGAGAAAGCCCTATTCGTTTTGGGGATAATGGCTTTGGCAAATGATTAATTTGGCGATGACACCGGCGGACAATTGCATCATGTTGTAAAATGCACCACGGGACATTTTGCTTCCCAAACAGACAGGAAATCAGGGTTAATATCCTCACGTAAAGATGGATATTAATCAGCAACCAAATACAAAACCTCAGCTGTTATGAAGCTCCTACCATTAGAAACGCCACTTCAAACGATACAAGCTCTAAAAACAGCAGCAACTGTAACAAATGTAGCTAGTTGTAATCACCAGCGAAACGTCGCACTCGAATTGTAAATGTTGTGTGTTTACTCTCCAACACACCGATCTGTTGAGCTAGTAATTAATTGGGATGTTTTGTTTACGCGACAAATCTTACTAATTGGCTATGTCGGGTGGTGGCGGGTTTAACGACACATTTATATTTACTTCCTTATACGAAGTAAATGTGTTCCTGGAGCTTCGTTCATATATATTGAATCACTTATAACATTAGTACTATGAGGATGAACTCCCAGCCTTCGTAACTTGCTATTTCATAATATAAACACTTAATAACTTACCATTCATATTGTACAAAAAGACAATTCATATTGTAAATAATATTCTATTTTACACTGTACGGTATTAAAATAAATTAAAAACTGACAAAGTAAAGAAGCATATTCTTCTCATGTACACAATACCGGAGATTTACATGCTCAAACGTTATTTAATTTGTATTTATTTTTGCATATTATTCTACTCATATTTTCCCCCTCATTAAAATGAATGGTAATAAATCTAGAGTTCGTTTAATTGAAACTTCGTAAATCGAATATTCGCACATCTAGACATTACCGGACTAAGATTGCTTCATTTATCATTAATTGGAAAACGGTCATTCATTGCATTGCACTGAAGAGTGTTCGATAACTCTTGCTATGAATATTAATGCCACCGTGGTAAAGGGAGCCATGTGCCTCCCTATATGTCCCTTAATTGGGCCGTTGAGACCGGCCACCGTTAGCGAGCCTACGCATTCACGGTCCAGCGCACATGGGACTGTGACATAACAATTACAGCCATCTTTGACTTCTTGCGGCAAACACAACCCCCATTGTTAATTCTTGGCATTGCTTGTCCAAGGCAATACAAAAAAAACATCCTTGGCATGTTTTGACCCTCTATGCTGTGGAAGCGTCTGTGTGCATGCCGGTTGCATTCTGCGGCGCTATAATTAGTTGTCCAACATGGCTAGACAGACATCCGACATTTTGAGCATGACAGATTTAATTTCCAGCAACATCGTTTCCGTTGAAGGCGGTGGCGAGCATGGGGAAAATGGGGAACGCAAAAAAAATGAATTGTTTTTTATTCTCGAAGGGATTTTGCAAAGAAATGAGATGTCACGACAGCGACAAGGAGGTCACATTCAGTGTGTCCCTTCAGGGAGGGTGTTTTTCGTGTTATAGGTCAAAAGGGCTTTCGCACGCTAGATCATGTCGTATAGTATTCAGACCCACGGGCAATTGTGGATTCATTGTTCAGAAAGAACAAGCCGGCGGATATCCCACGCTTGGTATCAGTAAAATTTGCGCATCCACAAATTCTTACATCGATGGCCATCTCATTGCAGCAGCCTCTTCTACTTTCACTGACTGCAGGGTCAACAATGTCAGCATCTTCCTACTCCTACAAGCATTTGGGAAGCACTCAGATGTGTTGGTGGCCCGAAGCCATTTGTAGAAATTCCACAATCCCATCGTCGCGAGAGCCAGCTTATCATAAGAAACCCGCCTGTTGATCTGCTTTTCATGCTCAATAAAGGTGGCTTCCACTTACATCCACACACATGGTACGATCACCTTGAAATGTACGAATGTACGTATGTATGTTTAACACGTAAGCTTTCGCGACCAATATTATCCATAATAGAGTTTTTTAGGTTAGATCCTATGAGCGTCTCATAAAAAAAGTCTATTATGTATGTGTGAATGTGTAGAGGTTGATGTAAAATATGCTAATGTATAATAAGAGGCAGCTCTCTAGTCTAGCGTTGAAAGAAAGTCAACCGTGTGGATATCAAAAGCAGCGTATGAGGAGGAGTTTCTCCTTATTGACGAAACGTTGACAGGAAATGCCGCGGTGCCAAGGTTTAACAACAAGTGCATCTGTGTGCCATTTTCGCGGAATGGAAGAAGAAGAAAAACAATAATTTTTCAAAACTTGACCACTTCACTTCAAGGTCTACTTTCCATGAAGCTGTTTTATATATATATATATATGCCTCGAGACCTATAATTAGTGTTACAGCTGTGTCTGCGACCTGTCATCCATAAAGGGCAACTTGTCTGACAATTCGCCCTGTAAAGTGCACTCCGCGAACATGAGAAATGTTTTAAAGGTATCACCTGAGACCTGCCCCCTTTTTGTGTCTCCATCATCCGGTATTCCACTGAATCGATGAATGCGTTTGGGTAAATAAAATGTAAAAAGCGTCCTTGGCAAGTCACCTTCATTCTGAAACAAACCATTCGCGCAAGACAGCATGTACATACGTGTATATGTTGAACTTATTTCGCAACGTAAAAAGCCAACTGTGCTAATTGGAGGTGGGGGAAGGATAACAAACTAAATACAAAAAGCAGTTGTAAGAAAATTCGTTTTCAATTCATGTTTACAAGTTCATGTATGTATGTTGAACTTCTTTCGCAACATACGTAGCCAACCGTGCTATTCGGAGGTGCAGAGGAAGGACAACGAACTAAACACAAAAATCAGTTTTAAACATATTAGTTTTCAATCTAGATGATTAAAAAGTGCATCGCTCCAGTGGCTTCCTAATATTGGAAGGAAGAGTATTCCAGACGCTGGCCGAAGCGTTAAGTTGAAACAATTAAGTCTCCTTTGTTTGACTATATGAGATGAGAGCGTTCAGAGATTCAATGGGAATTGTTTCGTGAACCAACTTTGTTGCCTTTTTTTGTGAAAAACTGAAGAAAGTAAATCATTCAAATATGGCAATTTCCTGCCCACCAGCTGGATACATTTTTGCAGCAACACTTGAATGAGGCTAATTATATCTTCGTAATATCAAGTCCAGGGAGAAAATATTTAAAGCGAGACATTTATTAGATTGACAAATGGCTAATAAAAAAATATAGGTAGAAATGTGTTAAGCATTTAGATAGAATAATACATTGATACAAATAAATGTGGATAAAACTACAGAAAGTGGTTATTATGGAGAAGAGGGCACTCACTTTCCCTTGAGTAAAATGCTGAGCCTTCTGTCGATGGGGGTTTTATTCTCAAGGGCGTACACCTCGCCCCTGCGTCTCGTCTCTATCATGCAGTACTGAGACACCACTGAGCGGAACACCTCTCTGGGCACGTTGAGAGGTGCGAACAGCTCAACGTACAAGTCACTCAGCTCTGGGGGCAGCTTTACCTTGAAAACAAAACAAAAAACAAGCTATTATCATCACTCGCCACGGTGGTGAGATGTTATCTCCTTGACTTAAAGCTTTCGTGACTGCAGGAATTAATATTCATGGGTCTTTCGGTAAAGTCATGTAGATAGGTTTAAAGAGTTAAGGGAGAACCCATTGGGGTACCTTCAACTTGTTTGTCGAATGTTCGATTCCAGGTGAAGTAAGTGTTGGTGAAGCAGTGTCTCACCAGGGCCGGTACATCAGGATTCAGTCCTTGTTGGACCAAATCTTCAATGTCTTTGAGTTGTGCGCCTTTTGGCGTCATCTGGTCCAACCCATGTGAGACTAGGCTCGAAGGAAAGCTGTCTCGGGTGTGGACCAATCAACTTCAAGGACAGTGCACATTATCAGAGTTATGTCTTTTGTTTGTATTATGACTGCAGGTATTGCAGTCTATGCAAACATGACTCCTTGCAAAAAGGTGTCAGTTTTGTTGCGAGATAGAAGGGTAAAAACCCAATTATCATCTTAACACCTGTTTTATTGCCAACAAGGGTAAAATATTTTTATTTTTCATCATTTTGGATACTGCCAAAAAAGTCCCAAAGATACGTCTCTTTTTGCTTCTTTCATTGCATAACTCCAATTTGAAGTTCCCATGAAGTTCACTCATTGATTTCTCCACTCATGTTGAGGACTCAGTCTCCAGAGTCTTTGGTCTCATCCATCCTGTATTCAACCACCACACTGCAGGCCACAACAACCCTCATTCACCATTAATTGGTGGTGACGTCACCACAGCGCTTGTTCCAGGCTAGGTGCGCATTTAGGCCGCAACGAAACACTCACCTACTTACTCACCACTTTGGAATTCTCTGCCATCGCCTTTTTTTACCAGGTTTGTATAGCCTTGCTCAATTCTAGACACATGAACACTTCTCTGTTACAACTTTAGTGCTGTTTTTTGCTCCTCGTTTGGAAGTGTGGACCTTTGACCCTGTGCTCAGCAACCTTGATGTTAACAACATATGCTTAATACTTTAGCGAAAGAACCGAATAGTATATGCTTAATAATTATGCTTAATAATTAGTTGTCATTGTGCTCATGCTCACGATAAATGTATCGATTTACAAAGCCCAATCCAGAATGTCACTGCTGTTCAGTTACTTCCTTGGACATGTGGACACTGGATAAATCAGGGTCTCTGCTGGTGAATTTGTCACCGATTAACTCAGCATGGCATGCCCAGCGAAGTCGACATGTGTCTTCTTTATTGACAGCCTGCGGGAGGGTCATATGGCAGAGATCTTACTTTCCACATCCAACGTTTCAGGGCACTGGGATTCAGCCTCCATGGTTAAATGTGTTCGAGGAACAATGACACAGACTGCGCCATCTGCTTGATTGCAGGCGCTGGAGGGTGTCCGGCACTGTCTGTTTGAGGCAAGGCCAGATTTACAAAACGTCTCAATGAAATTGGTAATTTAGATTTGAAGTTTTCGTGACTGCAGGGATCCATACTCTTTGGTTCTTTCGGTAAAGTCACGTAGGTAGAAATTTAAGTAAATTAAATCACGACGTTTTGGGCGCAACACAAGCGTCCGTCATAAGGTGGGACAACCACAGCAAGAAACTTCAGCAATTGTTTCTTGCTGTGGTTGTCCCACCTGATGACGGACGCTTGTGTTGCGCCCGAAACGTCGTGATGTAATTTATTTTATTTTATACCTACGTGACTTTACCGAAAGAAAGAAAGAGTATGAAATTGGTAATTATTAATTAAATAATACCAATAATTTTTGGTAAAAAAACCTCAGCATGTATGTATTATATATATAAATTTAAATTAAATAGATTTTGTTATGTTTTTACAATGTAAAGCAGTGACAGTGTTTCTTTAAAGCTATTTCATGGATATGACCAAATCACACGGAATGTGCCTGAATTCATAAAATCTCAGAAGCTCAGCATGCTTGAGCCTGAATAGTGCTTGGATGGACAACCACCAGGCATTCAATGGGTGACTTGGGCTCCTGCAGGGATATATTGCCAACGGTGCAGTGTTTAAAAATCCATTGTCGTACTCTACTATGCTCCGACGTCTATATGCTCTCGCCTTGTATGTACTGTATGTTGAACTTCTGTCGCACCATATGTAGCCAACCGGACTAATCGGAGGTGTGGAGGAAGGACAACAAACTAACACACAGAAAGTAGTTTTAAAGAAATTATTTTTCAATCTAGATGTAAAAGTGCATCGCGCCAATGACTTCCAAATAGCGGAACGAAGGGCATTCCAGACGGCCGAAACAGCGTTCCAGACGGCCACATCGTACTGACAAGCGTGCTACAGTCTGGTAAAACATCCCTCATGACCCTGCACTGTGCGGCAAGGCCTTCATCCGGCAGTGGATTTACAAAAAATCGTTATAAACATACATATATTTGTGTATGTACATGGGTAAGATGTAACTTAGTGCAGTAAATTTCCCAGCTGAGAGATCCTCAGTTCAAATAATCATCATCGTCTTCCCTCAATTGCCAATAAAGCTGCACCAAATTGTTGGAAATTACATCGTGGAGGTCACAAGCGATTCTCGAGTCAGTCGAGCTCTTAACGTGCAGCATGGATCGATAAGCCAGTCAAAAGGCCCAGGACCGAAGCTACCACGGGATCAGTTAGGACCAGATGGGTTGCCATGGGAACTTGGACTCCTGGGCCCAGCACAGAGTGCTAGAACTCAAGCCAGCACAATGCCGCAAATGAGGCAAGTGAGCGTTGCAACACATTGTCACAGAGAATTGCCCCAGAAGATTATATAATTACATGACGGACCGACTTGTGAAATTACTTCATGAGGCTCCTTCTCCGCTACGTGAAGCAAATGTTAAATGCCATGGAAACTGTGTTTCTAACATACCTATAATTAGATAACAAAAAATACTCTTTGGGTCTTTCAGTAAAGTCACGTAGATAGGAAAATAATAAAATAAAATAAATCACGACGTTTCGATCACAACACAAGCAATCGTCTTCAGGTGAAAAAGATAATGTGCCATATTCATTGGTGGACAGGCTAAGTCCATCAAATCTTTATTATACTCAGTTGACCTCAGAACTCAGCACTCTAACACTCTTGTCAACCCCTTGAGCCACTCGGCCACTTTTAAACGAGCAAACTTTTGAAGGATATGGAAGTGTGAGGGCACAATGCTGTCGCTTCATTTGACTGAAGGTGTTACATCGTGCTCTTTGTCTTATAATGCAAAAGTGCGTCTTTACCACTTACCAGACGCATGTTATAAAGCAGCAGGGCTGCATGGGCAGCACAAATAATGAGGAAAACCAGACCCCACACTCCAACGCCGTAGGCACACTGATACAAAGTGGCCCACAGGATCCAAAAGATGCAACCTGGAAGACAGAACATTGAAATGCTTGAAGTTCAACTGCCATAAATTGATGTTAAAGTATTTGTGAAAGCAGGCCATTTTCACATAAACTAAAACACACTTGCATTCGACAGCTGAATAGTCCAGTAGTCTCGTGAGAAAAATGTATCTGTTAAATTCTCATAGCTGCATGTTAAGTTCCACAGAGATTTAGCATAGCCAGGACGCTACTGCACAGTGGATGCTAAGGCCTTGTGACCTCATAACAATCGCCAAATCCCATTGTTTTTTAAATGTGTCTGCAATCAAATAACTAAACGATGTCGCTGTGTACCCAAACCTGACCAGGTGGCTCTGCTGCAGATCACTTGCAATTGGAAGTTCGCGAGTTCAAATCCCGTCAGGAGTTGATTCTACACCTCATCCTTTCGAGGCTGATCAAATTAACACCACTTTGGTTTGGCAAAAGTCAACAGTGGTTCTCGTGCGAATAAAGAGGCCATGTCGTAGAAATGTGCAAGTTCCACTGCTGCTGTATAGCTAAAGTTCGCCAAAACAAATGAGCACCGATGCTCGTGAAAGCAAGAATACACCGTGACGTGGACTATGTGAATTTGACCTCTCAGATGGCATTCTCAATATAAATAATATATCCCTATTGTTTCTCACCCACTTGAAAGACATTATATTGAATTGAATTAAACTGCCCAAATCATTTACGGAAACTAGACTGTATGCAACTGCAAGCGTATGTATTTAACCTTTTGGTGCAAAGCTTATTTATTCATTAATATCTTACAATCTTGAGTATGTGGAGTTTACAGAAATATACTGCATGCATGAGGGGCAGGAAACGTCTTCATAAAGTGGTTTGGAATATTATGTGCAGCCCTTTCAAACCCATATATACTTAAAATATAAGTAAATACTATATCATAAATTACTTCTCAAATAATGTTATATGTATATATATAAGGGTCAAAGATACCTGATAGACTATTCCATTGTATACCAAATAGCTGATAATTATCAGCTATTTAGAATTATCAGCTATTTGGTACGTTGTGAACATGAAAATAATGGCTGCAACTGTTTTTTTTAAATAAATCTATGTAAAACGTTATTAACAAATTCTAGAATGAAATCAAATATAGGTAAAGTTTCAGGCAATTGCCTAGTTGAGTGAATAACACAAAAATAAGAATAATTTAAAGCCTTTTGTCAATTCACTCCTGGATGAAGGCATTCCCATGCTGTGTCATTAGCATTGCCCATACTTCATAACAGGGATCTCTGCGGGTTGGTAAATTGGGTGGGTGCAGGACCCGTTGAGATATTACTCGTCACTGATGTTAGCCGTGGTTGCCAGATCTGTAGTGCTGATACACAGTTCCAGTCCAATAAAACGATGTCACGGGGTATTTAATGGTCACTTTATAGCAGATGGTAATTTCCCACTAAAATGAACATTGTTCTCAAGGATGAAACCATTACCCGACAGAAAAATGGATCAATGATGAGCTTGCTGAAGACCATGTTATTTTGATACTCAAGTAAAAAAAGATATCCAGATTCAAACTTCTCGATCATGGAGGGGCATGTGCTGTTCACTAGCATCTACAGTAGTTGTGTCGGCATACCACATGGGGGGTGGCGTGGCCAATGTCATGCCCGGCTGCCTTTGTCTCCCCAGTGCTGATCGCACACAATACTTGGTACTCATTTAAGGATGAGATGACCGAGGAAAGGTCCAGGACCAGCACTTTCCACTGCTGTGCGTGGTCGAGGAACGAACTGAGCGCTAAGCTGCCCTTCCATTGCTCTCTAAGCATGCACAAACGTACATACATTATCTACATCATTTTAAACAGAGTAATTGGTGAATCCAACATGTCTTATGCAACAGTAGTTTTCCACAATAGTATCAAATGCAGATAAAACACTTTTTTTACATTCAATTGAGGCTTTTAGTACTCACCCAATATCATAAGTCCTCGAAACAGCAGGATATGGCAGGAGAGCGTGGCTGGAATTAAATAGGCAACCAAGAAGGCAGTGTTGGCGAACTGGAAGAGTCCGTGCTGACTCTCTTCCCACTCAAGGCACGCGCTGCTGTTCAGGGCACTGGCGTTAGTGGAGATAGTAGAGGTACTAAAGGTACTCGCGTTACTAGAGGCCGGTGCGCAGGCAACCAATGGACAAGATACCGAGAGAAGCAGGAGCACAGTTGATCTCATTGTTGCGTCGTCCAGGCAAACACGAAGAGGCGCATAAAAAGAGCGACTCTAAGCTATAATAGAACATTAATATATTACAAATTTTGAGTCGGTTGTTCAACGTGCTTGGTAAGTCAACAATATGGATAATATAACATTGGGTGAAAAAAGACAAGTGTAAAATGAAGACAGTGGTATTAAATATAATAACAAAAATAACCACGACTAAATATAACAAAAACGATCTACAACGAAATACAAATTGTAAAACAAAATCTAACAATTAACCTAGATTGCTAAATTTAACTGAAGCTTTAACTGACTATTATGCATAAGCACTCCATGCCAACTGCACAACACGACGAGATGCTGAAGCAGAATTACTGAGCTCTCTGGGGGCGCATGGTGTAGATTTTAGCCATGCAATTTTCCATCTGGTTGATAATGTGTGCAAGAAAAAAATGGAGACATAGTGAGCATTGCTGCTAATGACATACACGACAAAGTTATCAGTTGGATAAGAGAGGGCCCACTCTGGTATTTAAATTATAAAATTTGTAACGGTTTTGCAGCGAGTTAAAGATTATGTGTACGCTGAATTGTATTTTGATGCCTGAAAAAAAGTATCCTTTTTAAATTAAACACACAAACTGTGAAATATTATAACATACAAACTGTAGATTATTTTATGTATTAATTTTCACGTTAAATACGTTGTAACACTGTTATTACCACTATATTTAGAATTGTGTCAGCCTTTTAGGTGTTGTTGTTTTTAATCATTTTAATATTATAAAGTCTGTAGCTACACGTAAACATGGGTTGCTCTGAATTTAAATAATTTTCAACATTCCATTTTCCTTTACTTCATCATGCAAGGGCCTTGATGATAAAGTGTCTATCTTGCAAAAAGATAATTCTAATAATATGTAATGAGTTAAAGAGTGCCTTCAACTTTAGCTGTTTTCATCAGGTGAAAACTCAACAGAACAGAAGAGTATTATTTACAAGACTTAGGTCACCAACAAACGTTCTGACCCACCCCGACTGGACATCTGTGAAAAAGAGCTTTATAGATTATCGGATTCCTCCGTTATCAATACATATTATGCTTCCGATTACAAAAGAAGAGGCCTGATGGCTCGTTGGGACATTCCGTCTCCAGGAAAGCCACCCACATGGATTCCTATCTAAAGTCTGATTCCCACCACCATCCGGCCCAGAAAAACTCCCTCATCAAAACACTACACCATAGGGCTCACTGCATTTCCGACCAGCGCCACCTAGCTGGTCGGAGATGCAGTTACATTGGGGAAATGAAACATGTCTCGGACCGTGTTCATGAACACAAGGCAGATTTGAAACACGGCAGAACCAATACCTCTGCAGTGGCTGATCATTGTTATAACGCAGTGGGCTCGCACGATATTGTTTTTTTCAAGACCGAGGTACTCTGCAAATCTTCGGGCTACCATCAAAGATTTATCCATGAAGCCATCCAGATATATAAACACTGAGACAATTTCAATTGAGAAGATGGGTATAAGCTGAGCAATCATTGGAAGGACGTCATTAACCAAGCAAAGTCGTAACTTGCTGTGGAGCTTCCATCCTTCCCTGCCTTTTGGCTGTTATCTTCGACTCTCTGAGTTGCATTGCCCTGTTAGGTGCCTCTGCATTAACGGGCTGGAGTCTCACTAACATGACCACCTCTGCTCCCTTAGCCTCGATGTATCGATGGTTCTGGCTGTGTGATGGGCTGTGTGTCTCACTGGCGCGACCACCGTTGCGGTGGTTCTCTTGCGTTGACGCGCTTGCCTCTCACAGCGCAGTTGGCAACAACACAGCTTGTGTTACACATAGACATCACATTAACTTGCTAAACCCCCTAATCTCTCTGCCCAATCCCTCCCGTCAACATAGTGCTAATCTCTCATTAACACTGCTGTTGTGCGCATATGCGGGGACGATACTCTTATGCGGCGACGGAAGCTCATTTCATACTAATCTCTCTCCCTAATCTCTCTCTCCCTAATCTCCCCCATTAACACAACTGACGTGCTTGCGTGCGGGGATGGAATTCCTTTCCAGCTCAGACCCCGCCTGCTTGCCCTTCGCCACATATATAACGTCTTGTTGTAACAGCTCTCTCGCTGTGTTCTTCCTGGTTCAGCAGTTCCACTGCTGGGTTATTTTGTTTCCACCTGAGGACGACGCTTGTGTTGCGATTGAAACGTCGTGATATATGATGTTTTTATTTTATTGTATTTTTCTACCTACGTGACTTTGCCGAAAGAACCAAAGAGTAAAGCACAGCAATTAAGAAAATGTAAATTGTAGAAAAAACTATCGAGTAAAACTCTGAACAAAATGCATCTACACTGAGGAGATCCAGATGTTCTCAGTTCAATTCCTGGTTGAGATGTTTTGTTGGTGTAAATTGTTTACAGGACGTGGCGTAACGTGCAGATTCATCCTTTCCCCCAACACATTCAATCCGCGTTAAAACTTGAGGAAAAAACGATGTAATAATAAGTCTGTCTCTGGCTATGAGGGCTGCTATTTTGTGTGTATACATATGTAGAGCCGTTGTGGACGGCCGGATTTAGACTTGCCGCGGATGGCAAACAAACACAATGGGCGTGGCTACGTCGGTTCGCGGGGCAGGTGCTCGCAGCGACGTCCTCGCCGTACGCTGGGATCCCCCACAGCCCCTCCCCTCAGGGTGGAGATGGCTATTTAAGGCGGTGAGCCGAAGGGCTCGGGGTCGAGTGTGAAGCTGTAACCAGTGAAGAAAGAAGACCAGCTAGACCGTCCCTGGAACTCCCTGGGATCGCTGTCCTTTTAAGGACCGACCAGGCAAGCCAGCGGCGTGGCCCCCAGAGCCCAGAACCGACGCTCTTCTAAGAGCGGGGTCTGGGTATTCGGGGTGCCGTAACCTAGGTGTAAGCTAGCTGTGAGCTAGGATGTTGTGTTCCGTAGCTAGACGGGTGAAAGGGCCGATACCCCTTCAGTTACTGTAAGCTTCCGAGTTACGTGCTGGTGTTAATAAATAAGCGTGTGCCTCCAACTACGTGTCAAGTCTCCCTGGAACCATACTACACATATGTTAAGGCAGCGACGTATAGTTGATTTCGAGTGGAATACAGATATTTCCGAGCCTGCCAGCAATTACGCACTCGAAGAAGAAGAAGAAGATAAACCAGTGCATTGAAACATTACCGTGGTTTTTTTTATTTCCAAAAGTGAATAAGGATTAGTGGGGGTTGGAGCGAACTCATAATTATTAGAATCTGCAGAGAGAAATGCATGAGGGAGGGGATGGAATAGAGAGAGAGAGGGGTTGGGGGGGGGCAAGATTGCCGTGAGGGCAACCACCCTAAAAAATGTGAGAGGCTCCGTCTCAGCGTGAGCGATACATTTTGCGACAATTGGTTATGCCCCTCCATGAAATATAAATAGCTGTGGGTGCGCACACGCCCGCGTTATCACTCGAAAATACAAATAGCTCGAGCACAATTATCTAATCCTGTGCCCGGGCAGAGTGAGTGGCTTGGCTATTCTTGCACCCGTTGGCTGCTAAAAGGGTGCCTTGTAAGGGGTGGTGGAATTTGATCTTAATGGTGTGAGATAAAATAAGAGTGTGATTGTATACCGTCGGTCAAAACCCTCCATCACCGCTCATAGACTTTATAAGAATGGAAAAAAGTGCCGGTTATAAGCACCATTGTGAATGCATTTGAAATGCATTAATTCATTAAACGGCAGTCGTGAAAACAGAAAGGCCAAACGATGTACAGTATTATTGGATGTTCAGTGCTCAGTAAATAAGAATGCATTAGTTTTAACAATTCCAGTGCTCATTTGATGTTTTAAGTGTTTCAATCGTTAAAGCGTCTTTGCCAGTTTGATGGTATGAACAATTTCCTTCTTACAGCCATTGGATAGAGTTCTTCATATTTATAAAATATATATACTGATGTGATCTGCCCTAAATCGAAAGTTAAACACAGAATTTTGAATCGTAGGTCATAATACACCAATGAATTCGAGGACAAACAATACTATCAATTGCCCAATGTAACTAGAATTAATTGTTAACATTACAGTTAAATGACATTGAATGCATGATATATAGCAATATCTGTAGATAATAGTGAGAGGATTTTGTAAAAGTATATATTTTTGTATATATTCTCCTAAAAATATAAATACAAATTTTATAAAGTTCCACAACCACAAATAGACGTGATGTGTTCTAGACTTTTTTTTTATAAACAGCCAGATGGCTCGGCGGTAGGGCGATGCAAGTGGGAAGTTTGCGAGTTTCCATCGTGGGTTGACTCAGACCATAATCCCTATAGGGTCGATAACGTGAGCACTGGCTTTGTTGGGAAGTTAACAGTGGCTGTCCTATGTATACAGACACACCCCGGTTTGCGACCGGGATTCGTTCCTGATAACCAGAATGTAAACCGAAAGTGCTTGAATCGAAGCACAGAGATGGGATGGTGGATCGTAACGTGGTAGAGAACCTACTTACTAGTACGTACGACTAATAGTAGCAGTATGTAGTACTACAACGAGAGATGGGATGGTGGATCGTAACGTGGTACAAAACCTACACAGAGACAAAGGTCTCCGATTGGTAGAAAGAGACCTCCGCAGTGATTGGTCGCAAGGCAAACTTTTAAAGGGATTGGAAGAATACGATTTGCACGGGATTAAGCCGGAAAACAGAGAGGATCCGTTAGAGGGGAAGGATAGGGATTGGCTAAGAATTAAACAAGAACAAGAAGATTCCAGAAAGGGGGCTCGAGGAGTATAAAAGCGGAGAGCACGAGGAGTGTCGACGTTCGGAGGAGGTTACAAGCCGAAGACAAGACCGAAGCCTAAATCGGGGTGGTACTGCATATACTTGCTCCGGCCATAGGAATGTGGAATTCCCACTACTCGTTCAAGATTGTGAACAGGAGATGAGCACGACACTGAATGATCATTTGAGCAGGGCAACACCGTTTGCATGCAGACGTGCTTGTGTAATTTCTCTTTTACTTTGACGATATCTCTTAGGTAATATACTCCCTGACGCCGGTGACTCCAATTTTCGTGTGGGACAGCGAGCCTCGGGTTTTCCAGTCACATAAAATACATGCAGATGGCGCTGCTAATGGAAATCAGCAATGCCCATGTATAATTCAAAAGGCATTACCCAACAGCAATGCACATTTACACGGCACTTGCAAATCGGAGGGCTTAAGTTCGAATCCCACCACTTTAATAAATATTGTGAATATATCCCTACGTTATCATACTTTATACTTATACAGTGCTATGTTCGAAGAGAAACGTATTTTTTTTTCCTGGTGGGTTCCCTGCCTGTATTCCTGTCTGCATGTCTGGTGCATGCCC